TGACCCGATCGAAAATAAATGTTGTAAATTTATATCAAGAAGTAGATCGATTAAGGGTCAATCGATAAAATAGATGATTCTTTGCAAAAGGAATATGACGTCATCATCATCATCATCATCATCATCATCATCATCATCATCATCAAACAGACTAGAAATATTCAAATAAAATGTTGTATACATTTACAGTTCCAAAAGGCCCGAAGTTACCTTGATCGTTATGATGCGCATAATATAGACTGGTGTTTATCATCACAATTAATTGGATTTATTGGAAGGATCAACCTGACATTTGGAACAACGTGGCTATGTAGTAAATGGTCGATGACAAACTCGACCCTAGTGATCGTTTTATTTTCCTAAGTTTATACGACAATACCTCGTTATTTTTACTGGTATACTGGGTTTCAAAGTCATGAATAAACACTCTCAATGAACAGAACACAGCAGGGCATACCAACCTGTACCCTGTGTATTATTATAGAATGGGGGTCATGTTACGTTTGTAATGTCCATCCTTTGTTTTCCAGAAAAAATCATTTCCATATGACTCTGGTTACCCAAAGACCATTCCACCATTTGGTTTGATTTTTCACATCACGAAATGGTTAAATCAGACACTGACAATTACACCTTTCGTTCATCCCTCTCGAAATAGCAGTCAATACATAATTTAATTTCTACATTTATCTACTGGTGGTTGAACATATTTAAGCAAACAAAGTAATGAGAGCTGTTATCTATTCTATTTTTACTTTACTACAAAGCCTGAGCTATAGAAATGTCGACAATATTTTTCATTCATAATACATAAATACTATTTTATGAACTTGCGTCAAACTTTTGTATTGTATTTGCTGGGTTCCTGGGCACATGGAAATAACAGGCAATGAAAAAGGCATCTTTAATGCTGCCACTTGTATTTTTTAAACTTCTTTTTGCTGTTATTAAATAATTTATGAAACCATTTTAACAGCTCAGGGGAAGGCGGAATGGAATCAATATACGGATAAGAAATGACATTCCGTTAAACCTATCGTCAGTTAATGGTCTCCATGTTTTAGAGACAATCATCGAGACGAAGTTGTCCTTGCCCGTCTTCGGACGGGCCAAACTAACTTAACACATTCCTTTATGTTGAAAAGCGAAAATAATCCTCGGTGCATAGGATGTGAACTTAATGATGCTAAGGTAGAATAGAATGTCGCCTATTATAGATGTTGTCAACTGAGATAATCATAACGCAACAATATTTCTTACGATATGAAGCTGGAAGTGTTTAATGCTCGTTAGTTTGCTTCTAGTTTCCGACATCATATACCTTTCTCTTAGTTGACAGCGAGATATCAATTACATGGCAAGTAAACCTAGCACCTAACTGTCGCTGTCCATGACACGGATTCTCCTGAAATGTTAAAGTCAAGACTTCCAAGGTAATTTGAGTTGCATTGCTTGCTGTCTTCCATGAAAACGAAAGTTTACCATATAAATAAAGGTCGTGTCATTAGTAAACAGCCCTTCATGTTTATTGTGTTGTATGTGTGTGTGTGTTTTTATCGGGCTTTACGATTTGTCAATTTTATCAGATTAATTGTATTCTCTCTTTTCATTCGTGTTTATCAACAAATAACAATGTAATATTTCTCTATATTTCACTGACAAAAATGTAATAAGATTAAAATAAGGTAGTAACAGTACCATAGATCATGCCATTATACTATACCTTACTATATAATTCAGTACCGTTTCATTTGTCGATTAAAGTCAACAACGCTATATCGGGGAGCAAGATACATCAACAGACTACGTTGAAGAGGAGATCATTTTACTGTTAATGGATGTACTGTCACAAACATCAAATACGTATCGACAGTTCCTGATATCATCATTAGACAAATGTTTGTTTTAGGAAAACAGTCAACCTAACATACATTTTCTCCTCGTTATTGAGAGTCATAAAAGCACTATTCACAAGTTACTAGTAATATCGATCATCGCTTCGATTTCCTGAAATCTTCTAAGTTATCATTTAAAATGGGTCATCCCTCTTTTCTGACATTTTATATTCTATTCAACTCTTGCGATACAATTCTTACAGTGAAAACAAAGGACTACGATCAATAATAGAGATATATCTACTAATATGAAACTAATTCTATCTGTAAATATGGGCAAAGTATTTCCAGTATGACTAACATGGTGTTATGTCAAGCTATAATCAATATATTCAAACCGTAAATACACAAGTACGTCGCTACATTACCATGCAGTCAAATCCAATCCTTTTTACAGATGTTCATCATATATATTTAACACAGAATTACTTATAATTGTCCCATATAGGCGAACTAATGCACTTTAATTTCTAGACATGTGGTTTGTTAATGAGAACAGAACAAGATCGTCATTAATGTTGTTAATTGTTGTCAAAATTAAGTTGAACACCTTCTAAGTGAATCGGTATTGATGTTAAGCAATCGCACGGGGACCAGGAAAGGGAAAATATTATAAATTATGAAGGTTTATGAAGATCACAGACTTAATATTTTGCGAAGTACTTGTCCAGGGATGGTAGTAACGTTACTTTTACTTTTTAGTACTGGGGTTACTTTCATTTCCAAAAACTTTAAGGATCACAATATATCATGAAAAGTATTTGTCAATAGCATGTGATTTTATGTATATTTGGACATACAAGAAAATACAAACACTTAAGTGTGTGTTGGATGTTGTGCTATATAGTTATACATACGTTTAGTAAATATCAATAGGATAAAACAAACCTTAACATTGATGTCTCATGTTTTGGTGCGTACACCTTCATAACTCTTATTTGCAAGTCTAGCTTTAATTACTTACGTGTGTAATTTTTCAGATGGAACAAACGTTTCTATGACGTCATGAATTGAATTCGATCGATGTCACAAAATATCATTTCAATCACACTTCACTGTTTTGTTTATTTACTATGCTTAACGACACGTTTCTGTGTTTTTCTAACCAGCTTTATTTACAAACCTTGGGAAATATTTTGCTTTTAATATTCCCAAAAAATTATTTATTTATATGTAATGTACAGAAAAACTATTTGTACATGCGAAAAATAGAACAGAAATTAAGGATATAAAGTATAACACGTGAGTGCGTCTACTTATGTACAACAAAGTAATTTAATGTACATGTAAGTGTATCAACGGGGAGAGTTTTATTGGATACATAGATTAGTGTTTGATCCAATATAACTGTAAGCGGTTTACAACTATGTAACGCCCACATGAATTAACACATGAAAATAGAATCGGCTAGCATTCTTACATTGTAATTCCCCTTATTGCACTCGATAAAATGCTGATTAGAGTCAATTTCGGACATTTTTCATTTTAAGGCACGTATTAATACTGAAAACAATCCAAAATGAAGTGTTTCTAGTAATAACTCTTAGTTGGTATTTACTTAATAGAATAAAAATGAGTATTTTATATACAACGTACAATTATATAGAACTTATAAACAGTCGATGGATAATTTCCGAGGTATACCTACCGGCCACCTTTTAATTCTTACAAATAGTGAAAAACGGTTCACAATATATACATGAACTTGACTTGAGTTAATTAACATTGACTTTTAAAATGTGTCAACAAATTATTTATACGGGTAAACACAGGAACAGGCATGAAGGAGAGGAAATAAGTCTTGAGTGTAACTATTTATTTAGAACAAGCGGTTTTGATGTAAGTGTAACAAGACGGAGAATTGTCGTGGTATATACATAGTATTGTGTTTAAGTTGTAGTGGAACAAAAAAGATTTATGAGCTGATTATTTTACTATATAACGCTCACGTGAAATCACACTTAAAACACGTGTTGGCTAGTATTCCTAAAATGGAATTACCTTATGGTACTTGTTAAAATGCAGAAACGTGTCAATCTCTAACGCCTTTGTTTCATCTGAAGGTAAGAACTGATATTGAAATGTAACATAATGAAACGCTTCTAAGGATGCGTCTCAGCTGTCATTTTTTAAAATAGAATTATGATGTTGATACTTTTTATACAGCATAGATTTTGATAGAACTTATTTACGTACTCGGCGGACTATAGTTCCCTATGTTTGTCGTAACCTACTTGTCACATTGTAAGTAATTCGAATAGTGGCAGATTTCAAAATATATACATGTACTCACCTTTATTGATATATGAACATTGCGTTGTAATGGAGCTAGTGCACATTCTTATCTAGAATTTCACATTTTTTCTCATCACTTCGGAATTACTTTATTCGCTTCTTTCAATTAAAACATTTCATACCATGGCATTACTGATGAGATATGGAAGGGCATTACATCTGTATGATACTGTTTATCTCACTGTTATGACTTTTTATATTTTTGAGAAGTGTTATTCACTTACTAGGTGTATAAAATAAATTTATATATCTATAAAAAGAAAAATGCATCTCAAAAATTCAATCGCAAAATAAAATCAATTCACTCCACCATGAATAGAGAACACGTCTATCTGATTTGTTACACTGATGCCAAAGTCACGATCGACCTATACGGATTCTACAGTTCAGCTCCTTCTATAGCAGAAGTTTTTTTCAGAACTTCACGTTTTCCATCAAAACTATTTGAAATACAGCTAATGATAGTGAATAAAAAACGTAAAATGTTACTAAATTTACATTAGAAATCTAATGCCACAATGGATTTTTAATGCTTGGAAAGAGATTATTGATATACAATGTATGAACTTCAGTTCATCATTCAACTATACTGCATTGTATTCAAAATTTGTATTGGAAGGTGATATCCACTTGTACCCTATTTGATGGTCGTTGATATATTTCAAATTATGCCTGTTTTTCTGACAAAAACGATGACACATAATGATATCAGTTTTATTTTCGACTTTTTCAGAGTGTCCTGACTACAGAAAAATGAGAAATATCAATGTATTCCCGTTGACTCTTTTATCCATTTTTATCTTCATATCATGTGCTGGTGCCCAATCACAAGGGATGATGGAAGATCTGGTGAGACTAAGAGATACCCTGTTTCAGAATTATACTAAGGACTTCCGACCAGCTCAAAATATGAGTGACCCTACATACGTGACACTTGAAATGTATCTTGTATCAATTTTAGATCTTGACGAGGTCAGTGGAACAATTACACTAAATTGTGCCGTTCCTATGTCTTGGACTGATTATCGCTTGGTCTGGAACCCAAGCGATTACGGGGGTATCACTTCCTTTGTGTTTAATTCATCGATTTTTTGGAAACCTCGAGTTTACATAATAACATCTTCTGACGATTTGTCTGATTTTTCTTTCGACGCCTATGATGTTCGAGTATTTTCAAACGGTAGAGTAACGTCTTCGCCTGGTCGACATGTAAAGGCTAGCTGCAGTGTAGACATGACAAACTTTCCATCAGATTCACAAATATGTGTCATGCAAATGATGTCATGGGGATTACTTGCCAATGAGATGATTTTTATTGCAGGACGTGAAACCATCGTCTTGCGTTTCTATAAACCTAACGGAGAATGGGACATAGACTGGACTTCCGTGGCAAACAATACAAAGTATGGAACAAGCATTTCTGTTGTAGACTTTACCATTCATCTGACCAGACATTCAGCATACTTCACTGTATCCATGACTATGCCAGTTATTCTTCTGTGCTTTCTCAATCCCTTCGTTTTTCTGCTACCGGCCTCATCAGGGGAGAGAATGTCGTACACCATCACAATATTCCTGTCATTAGCCGTATATATGACAATAATCGGCGACAACATGCCGCGGATTTCAGATCCAATGGCGGGAATTTCTTACTTCCTACTTGTGGCCTTGCTAAATAGTTGCATATTGATCGTGTTGACTATATTCACACTACGTTGTGAAGCTGTTAATGATACACAGAAATTCCCTGGCTGGTTGTTACGGCTTGTCTCCTGGCGACAATGTCAATCGGTCAACAGCAGAAATCAAGTAAAAAATAAGAAAACCATTGTTCATGTTGAGGAAGTCAACGCAACGAACGAGATAACTCATCATCGAGACAAGGCACAGGAAAAGACTGTAAGCAAGGAAGATGTTATGAAATTCATTGACAAATACCTTTTCTATAGTACTCTTCTAGCGATGATTGTAACGTGTGTGGTATTTTCATTATATTACTGGTTGTAGTTGTTAATCATGACGGAACTCAATATATCATATACAGATACACATCTAAAGAACAACTCAAGGTATAAATTGTCTTGTGTTTTAACAAACACTATTGCACAATAGCATAGCTAGTCTCACACTATTTATCAATAATAAACTATGTAATGGTGTCTTTCAACACTTCGATCAAAGTCTGAACATTTTATAAGACAAACTTAAGCTACAACGTGTCAGAATATGGGTTTTTGTCTTCACTTCCTTAGCTATTGTACCGGAAACGCTTCATACAAGGGAGGGGGAGGGGGTACAAATATCGGTATCATAGCGTATTTAGAAAATTACATACTCATAACATTTACATTTCAACGCATGCGCCGAACAGGCGATCTGAAAGTGAAATTAGTAACGCATTTTGTATGGACGGTAAACATGAAAGATATTCTAAATCATCAGTCGGAAATTTTGCAGTAGGAGGTATCCATTCTAGAAGTAAAATTCGTTAGATATGTTGTCTAGTACAAACCGTTTATCCAACCACTATTCGCCACTTGATACGCCAGCAATGTCCCATTATCTAAATCCTCATGCAGACGATACTTACCGTATATAAAGTGATAAATACCGTGTCCTCAGTGTTTGTGCCAGTAACGTAAGATGTACATGGACACATGTTTTATTACTAGTCGAAATGTCCAATTGTTTCCTAGACAATGTCTATTGATCACATTACAGATGTTATTTTGCTTCAATAGAACACGGGGAAAAATAATATTTTGATCTGACCAAACCTTCAATCAATCATGGAGCCAAGTAACGTATAAGTTACCGTAGGAATTTTGAAATCGTAATATGAGGTCATGAATTAAATGTGCAAAAACACGTCTTTCGTATTGGATACAATTACAATGAGGGAATACTGAAGTGCCAAAAATAGAATTCGAAAAAACATGAAACAAACAAATATGAAAAGTCGAACCCCTCGGGCGGTTGATAAGGATTTGACTGGAGAATAAGGTCAGGTATTAAGAAGGGTAAATGAGGCAACAGCCGTTAAGTGAGGAATACTATATTCTAAAATTACAATTAAGGTTATTATTACAATCTGACAATACTTTTAGATGGTTAAAAATAGATTATATTAAAATATATAGTATACCATACCTTGACATATAATATTTTGTTTTAGTAAAACGACTATGTATATCACTGATTTGTCATGTTTTTATCTTGGGTGTTTGTTTTATGTGCGTGATATTTTGACCTAATTTCCTATACTGTGTTTATTTACTATAAGGCATGTCTATAAATATGTTAAAGTGCATTTGAATGTAGTTTAATAAAGAACATTGAGATTTACTGATGTTTCATCCTTTTCCCATTATCACATCACTTTTAAAGACAAATATCTTATATAATAGTTAATCATACAATTAAGTAACATTCCCTATGAGTGTTTCCTTTGAAATATGCAAAACATAAAACTCGTGTTAAAAAAATAATTCAATCTTGTGTAAATATCACCATGAACTTGTGCAAGACACCTTGCCTTACTATATCTCGCATATTTAAAAAAATTTCATTTTCCAACATGGAAGTGATCTCTAAACCGAAGCTCAAGTGAGGTATCATTAATAGTTTCCATCCGTCGTCCATCGTGTCACTGCAGATTTTGATGAAAAATTTCCATGTTTGATAAGTATAGGGCACTGATCAATTTGTATAAGGTTTTAAGTGATAATGACTTTCAAAATGTCTGCTAACTTCAGATTTTTTTCATTTAAAAACTCAAATACTGTTTGAATTCTATTAATGATCAATAGATGGATGATGTCCATGTATGACCATCCAAGATTGAAACATTGATCAATTAGTTGTGAAAAATTTTCAGTCAGTGGATAAGAGTACCCTACACTGATAAAAAAGATTCGGCATTGCTGTATTGCAAGTGTCTACAAGTTATTGAGGCAAAGAGTTTATCCGATCAGGGATCATTGTCAACGAACGGTTGAATTTCAATTGATTCCGTTATATTTCTTTTCACTCTGTTGAACTATGTATATACACATATTAAGGTCATAGCAACGGCTTGCTGTTAGTGGTCATACCAAGGGAACTCCCTTTGGTAATCGAAGTCAGAAGTTGCCGTGAAGAGCCACACCAAGGATATTTCGTTTGTATCAATAATTTTATTCTTATTCTCAAGTAACATTAAACAAGTCACAGTTGGGTATTATAGGCACATGTAGCAGAACTACACATTTGAAATTGTTTATTGATATTCTTAAATAAATTAACAAAATAAATAAATCAATATCCATAGTTTCAAATATTGATTGTAATTGATGAGTTATCAGACATGACCTTTGAAGAACTATTTGGGTATAATGTGATATTTTAATAAAATAGAAAGTTTAAAATATTTATTGACGTTTCTGACTTATTTGACTGTGATATTTGCGACCAATTTATTGACTTTTGGCATAACTGTCTTTTGTAATAAGACGTGCAAATGAAAAGTATACAGGGACAATTAATGTTGTTGACTTAACTGACCTTTAGGTTCTTATATATTGACATTAAGCAATATATTGTAATAAGGTGTGCAGATGAAATTATGCAAATAATGATCGATATTGATTAATTGGCCTTTGACCTTTGTTGACCATCATATTGATCTTTGGAATACCTTTGCAATAGGAGGCGCAAGTGAAATGTGTACACTTATGATTGATATTGGTGACTCATTCGATTTGTGACCCTTGTACTGACCTGTGACAAAATTTAACATTGTTATAAGATGAGCAAAATATTTCCATTGATAATTTGGCTTATGACATTTGATGACCCATATATTTACCTTTGGCATAACTTAACATTCTAAATGGCAAATGAAAAGAACATAATATTGATCGATATTGATGACTTGATTGACCTGTGACCTTTGGTGACTTATATATTGACTTCTGACTTTTGTTTGTTATTATAGAATATGAGCAATACATGTGGTCATTTGTGTTGTGTTAAGGAGAGATAAACAGTGAATAGTGGACGGAAAACAAAGAATTGACAATAAGTATCTGCATTTATGCATTTCAAATGTTCACATTGTTGCTTAAATCAGATGTTTAATATATACATGTAATGTGTCTCACTTTAGGTGTTGTAGAAAAATGTTCACCTGTTCAGGCGAGCGATAAAGTCTATAGGTTTCATATTAAGTATGATTTTGCCTAGAAAACTCATTTGAACCTCAATATGACAACCAAGAATGCTCGGGTACGAAGACGGCACGTGGCGGGCTGCATCTCACGCTACTTAAATGTAAATCGATTTACCAGCTTTCAGGGAATAAAAAAGAAAATAAGTTAATTTTAACAACTGCGTTCACTGGCATTAGAATTATGCGTAATTTCTGCATGTACACCTAAAATCATATCGACCTGCCTTCCGTAATTGTGAAGTTATTATCAAGGCAACAACTGGAACGTTTACCTCTAAGTGAACGGTACCTTGACCTTGAAAATAAGTGAGCATCAAGCAACTCAAACTCTACCACCTTGCGCTTAATATAATTTGATTTGCTAATTTCAACTTTTCCTGATCTGAACAATTTATTTTCATTTAAATTCGACCGTATCAAAATGTTGATATTTCAATGGGAAAACGCTACTTAGTGTCATGCAGTGACCCCATCATCTGTGAACATCGTCTTCATACGACCCCTGGCTGTAACGAGGATGTTATGCCATTAACAGGACGTTCCAACGAGAACGCATTTTCATTATTATTCGTTTATCGCATATTCCAATTGACCTTCATATTTTTTGCTCTCTCTCTCTCTGGGCTTTTCATTTGACTGTGTACCCAGCAGATAAAAAAAACATGTTCAGAGAAAATTGAATGAACACATAGATTATCGTCACATGTCCAAATTAATATTCTACGGTTTTGTATAAGATCTATCTTTTCTCCTTTTTTAAAAGTGCTTTCTTTTGCATTAAAATGTGGCGTTGTTGGCTAATACTGAGCATGTTACTTGGAACTAAGCTTATCTGGCCAAGGGATATAGCGGTGAGGAGGTGATTAATGAAAAAAAACTTATTTAATAAGATGCAGAGCTTTGTCTTATACGACATACATAAATAAATGTCATTCTATGAAGTTACTGCACTCTTTTGTACATATTGATGATTTTCTCACTTGGATTGACCAACATGGATGATGTCGTCAATAAAACAGAACACTATTGCCATCCCGAACATCTGGTCATTTTATAATTGTACCTCCTTTCCAGAGATCTAATTGTATTTTCTTCGTCATCTATCCTTGTGTCATTGAATTCATGTTCGAATTATGATTCAGTTCACATTTCGGTATTCTCTTTGTAGCTCTTTTCAATGAAAGTATTTAATGGGTTTTACAGTTCATCATATTAACTCAAACCGCCGGTCAATTGGTCCATCGTGACACAATGTATGTCATTCTAACACAAATAGATCATATTACAATAGAGCAATTCGGATAACTAGAACGCATGTGCTACCGTTAATAACCTCTTTATATGTAACACAATACCCGACTCGGGTCACAAAACGAAAATGATCGATCTTATCTAATGCTCCCATTAATGCCCATTGTTAAAGTAAATGTTAAGTTACACTTATTGATAAACATCTCAATATTGATGGATGTAGGAGTCTTTTTGATAACTTTCTTACCAGTTCAGATGGACTATGTAAATATTGTGTACACTGTTAAATCGGCTTCAGCCCTGGATTCGCTATTTTGGAATCGGACTTGGGTATGGTGAAGTATGAAAGTAGCGTTTGTGCATGCAATTCTTAAATTTTTTACATGTCATTACCATATCGAAAGATTTATCATACGACATATTTTGTTTATGCATTGCTTAGTGTCCTGTCATCAGTTATTGTTATTTAAGGACCGTCTTCAATGTGTATGCGAGATGAATGCATGTGTTGAGTACATTAATTTACAGGAAGTATCAGTAAGCTTGTGTACGCCTCCTTGTGAGTGTACGGAACTGCGTCAGACTTCGTAATAGTACTACGATAATGAAGTATACGGCTGATGGCCTCCAGATTTGAAAAGTAATTTCCAAAAGATATATCATATCATGCATTCAAATTATATAACTTTGCTGTACATAGTGATTACATATTATTAGGTTATTTCTAAATCAAATCTCACAGCTTACAGTAAATAATAAACATGCCAACGATCATCTTCGAATGTTCGATTTATATGGCGGCGTTCGAATTGTAAATGATATTTGTATTCGCGATTTTTAGATATTAACATTTGGAGGATCGCTGAAAATGTTTTCTTTCGATGTCAATATTCATGTTGGATAGAATGTTATCAGCTAAAACCTCTATATATTTTATTGTAAAATATCACACATGTAAACTTCCTCTTGACACTTATAAGCCTATCGATCGCTACAGGGCTTGAGGGTGATACATCAATGAGCGGTACTTGCAATATTGTCGTGAACTTCGGTCTTAAAGTGTCCCTAGTTACTCAAATCAGCATATCAATCGTTACTTTATGAGGAACGATGTCATCATCCTGCAGAAAGATCGACGATGAGTACTTTGTAAATAGTGACTCCCATGTTCCAGTAAGAAGTGATATATGATCAATCATTTCAATATCGGTTTCCTTTCCCATTTTGTTCGACTTCAGATGATTTTTCTATGCTTTTTACACCTTTCCATTTACTGTGACATATTTCGTGTTATTTTCCCAAATTTAACGCCGAGTTCATACCCAAACCAAATAGGCTTAGAAATTGATCTTAAACTAGTTGTGCGCTGTGTTCAATGTTTTGAAAAAAAATAAGACATCTGTTTACCGTTATTTTGTATTGTTATCAAATTCAAAGTAGATTAGTGTGTAACGACTGCCTTCTGAATGTTGTGAATGACATGGAATTGAGATTGATGAATCAGACAAGTATAGTGATATTAATGCCCCTAGTAAACATCTACGTTGTTTACACGCTTCAATTCTTACATATTTAATAACTATTTGTACGTTGTTATAACGGTCATAACCTCTAATTGTATAGTTAACACCAAGTGACACCTGTCATATTTTTATGTTTCCAATTAGAGCCAGCCTGCTTCAAAGATGTATACATCACTAATAAGGATGACAAAATCACAAGCAATACTTTTCTTAATGTGCACTTACGTCATCGTTCCATTTGCACATGGGCAAGGTACGATGGATGACCTGGTGAGACTGAGGAACACGCTGTTTCAGAATTACACAAAAGATTTTCGACCAGTTTACAACCTGAGTGACGTCACATATGTATCACTTGATATGTTACTGGTGTCCATTGTAGACCTTGACGAGATAAGAGGAATAATCACACTGAATTGTGGAATACCAATAGCATGGACAGATTATCACCTGGTGTGGAATCCAAGTGACTTCAGCGGCATCACTTCCTTTGTTTTCAACTCATCAAATGTATGGAGGCCACGAGTTTATATCACAACATCTTCCAACGATTTAACTGATTTGTCTTTGGATGCCTTCGACTTAAGAGTATATTCAAATGGCACAGTTACGTCTTCACCTGGTCGACATGTCATGACTAGCTGCAATTTCGACATGACCAGATTCCCGACAGATTCGCAAACGTGCACCATGCAACTTGCATCGTGGATATATCCTGCTAATGAAATTATCTTTATCAAATCACGTCAAGACATTGATCTAGAATACTACAGACCTAACGGAGAGTGGAACATTGAGTGGACATCAGTGACAAACAAAACAGATGTCAGAACTGGTTTTTCAACAATTGACTTTTCAATTCACCTGACCAGACGCTCTAGATACTTCATGGTGTCCATGACTATGCCCGTACTGCTTCTTTGTTTCCTCAACCCATTTGTATTCGTCCTGCCGGCCTCCTCAGGTGAGAGGATTTCATACACAATAACTGTATTCCTGTCACTAGCCGTATATATGACACTAATAGGGGAAAACATGCCGCAGGTTGCAGAACCAATGGCTGGAATTTCCTATCTCCTTCTTGTCGCCATGTTGAAAAGCTGCGTGCTGATCGTGTTGACGATATTCACGCTACGATGCGACTCTGTAACTGATGTAAATAAATTCCCTGGCTGGTTATTGTGGCTCGCCTGCCGTGGAGTGCGCAAATCAGCAAAACGTAAAAGTAAGGTTGACATCGCTGAAGACATCAGTGTGGACAATGTGAAGGAGGATGCTACAACGACGAAAGGGGCACTTGCTAGCAAAGATCAGGCACTGTGTAACATTGTTTGTAAAGAGGAGGTGATGTTCTTCATTGACATAAGTCTCTTTTGTCTAACATTTTTAATGGTTTTCATAATATGTTCAGCGTTTGCATTATCTTTCTGGTTGTAGGTTTACGTGTTTTCCTTAGACATACTGCATTATCGCGAAATGACACCACATGCCATAGAAAGTTAAAGTAAATGTAGAAATCTTATAGAAAGAAGTTTTGTAAAAAAAAAAAAAACAAAATCTGCACGAAATAAGTATTAAAGGAAATCTAAGAATTTTTATTCCGAATTTCTCTTTTATCACATATACCTATGTTGTGTCAACTTTCTTGGAAAATTATGCATTCATTATCGTAGAAACGTTTCTTCAGTCTGGAAGCTGGGTATGGTAGAATGCGCAGTGGTTGTTTCAAATGTTTATTTTAGAAAGATATTCTTCTAAAAAGAAGATATGTTCGAAATTAGTCGAAACCACTATGAAGACCTTTGAAGACAATAGTTTATATCTTTCAATGTGTGGTCTTGACATCAGGACCAAAAAACACAGACTTGTGGTTTGTTTCGTATAAGGTTTTGGAAAAGGCTTACGACACAACGTGGAAATACGGCATAATGAAAGATCTGCTCGATATAAGTATTAAAGGTAATCTACCAAATTTTATTTCAAATTTTCTATCAGATAGAATATTTCAAGTCTGGAATGGAACGGCCATTTCAGATGTTTATCAGCAGGGAATGGGTGTACCACAAGGCAGCATCCTTTCGGTTACACTTTTAGGACTTAAATAGTATTGTCAAAATATTATCCCCTTCAATGGAGGGTGCTTTTTATGTCGATGACTTCCTTATATGTTATCGATCTAAGCATATGAATACCAACGGCAGACAACTACAACAATGTGTGAATCGACTACAAATTGGGGTAGATGAAAATGGATTTAAATTCCCACAATCAAAAACAGTTCGTATGCATTTTTGTCCAATTCGGAAACAACACGACGATCTAAATGTATCTCGCTGTGGTGTACCCATTCCGGTTGTTGAGCAAACGAAATTCTTAGATGTAATATTTGACATGAAATGGTCGTTTCTTCTACATATAAAACACCTTAAAGTCAAATGCATTAAGGCACTGAATATTCTAAAGGTTGTGTCCCACACTGATTGGGGAGCTGATAGAAAAGTTTTGCAAAGACTTTAAGAGCTCTTATTTGATCAAAATTAAATTAAGATTCCATTGTGTATGTAACTGCGAGACCTTCATATCTCAAATTACTAGACACTGTTAATCACCAAGGTCTGAGACTCGCTCTCGGAGCTTATAAGACCACACCTACAGCAAGCCTTTATGTAGAGGCTAACGAACTATCACTATATAGCCGTCGAAATTAATTGGCTTTGCAATACACCATACAGCTAAAGTCAAATCCTTCGGATCCTGCTTTTCCATTTATATTTGATCCCAAATATAAACAAACTAAAGACCATTCGGTTTTCGGATTTCCGTTATCTTAAAAACATAAATATTGATACAGACCAAATTCAGTCATTTGGAACGATAGAAATTCCACCCTGGCTCTTGAATTCACCTGAATTGGACTTGATGAAATGGTTAAATCAGACACTGACAGTTGCACCTTTTGTTCATCCTTCTCGAAATTGCAATTAAGATATAAAATATTTCTACATTTATATACTGATGGTTAAAAGATAATGATATATTGAGACTATCTTTCTGTTATTCAGAGTCTTAGCAATAGAAATGTCGAAAATATTTTCATTCGTAATACAATTATACTATATCATGAACTTGCCTGTAACTTTCGTATTGCTTTTTGCTGGGTTCCTGGGCACATGGGAATACCAGGCAATGAAAAAGCAGACCGTGTCACAAAGGCAGCTTTATTGCTACCACCTGTTGTTTTTAAATTCTTTTTACTGATTTTAAACCATTTATTAAGCAAATTTTATAAGCTCAGTGGCAGGAGGACTGGAATCAATATATGAACAATAAATAGCACTCCGTAAAACCTATTATCATTGAATAGTCTCCATGCTATAGAGACAACCACCGAGACGAAGATGTTCTTGCCGGTCTTCGGATGGGCCATGCATACCTTACCTTTGTCTCTGCAGTAATTTGTGAATTTTCTCCATATCTAATGGAGTGTGTGCACTACAGATTGGTCTGCACATCAGTTATATGCCAGAGTATGTAGCTGTGTTACTTCAGATGTGGAACTTTTCTGCAAAATCAGTGTTTTGAGAATTTTATTTTGGATCTGACATAAGCTCACCATGGCCATGGTCAAGTGATTTCAGCATACTGACCACTGTTAACCATAAATACATATTAGATGAACTACCCAGGTAACTTTACCTGTATACTGCTGGATATACTACTACTTGACACACATATCTGTGTATAAGTGTGATACTTGTGATATTGCTTTTGTCTACTGTTCTAGAACTTTGTCTTTAATTTTTTGTAATTATGACGTCAACTTGGAGTTCAAGTTCAGGTTCCAAAGGTCCAGGAAACACAAAGGGTGCTCAGGGTTTTCCCTGGAGTAGCCAGTGATGTGACACGGAGGTTATCAAGTGACGAGAAAATAGAAAATTTTCGAGATTGTGTCCACTCTGCAGCATGACATGAATATGCAAATTAAATCTCTCCGTGCGGAAATTGAGGAAGAAAACAAAGAACTTATTAAAAGACTTGGGTCCGAATATTTGAATTAGAGGAACAAAACTCCAAACTGACACAGACTGTAGAAAGACTGGAACAAAAAGTGATAGAGTTAGAAGATAAACAATACCAGATTGCGTATAAACAGAACGATTTAGAGCAGCATATGCGAAAGAACTCTATGAGAATTTTTGGTCTAGAAGACACGGACAAGCATGAATCTGTTGAGGGATGTGTTAGCAAAATTGTAGGATTTGTAAAGTCCAAACTGAAAGTGAACATTCAGGAAAAAGACATTGATATTGCCCACAGACTTGGCCCTTATCAGATAAACAAACCCTGGAGTGTTATTTGTAAATTTGTTTGTCGCCTAAAAAAGATAGAGGTGATCCGGAACAGGAAGGCTCTTAAGGGGTCAAAGTGTTTTATATTAGAGAACTTGACCCAGGTCAATCAGCATTTTAACTCCCGCGTGTTGAAAGATCATGGAGTATGGATGGTAAACTTTTCGTGCTTCTGAAGAATGGTCGGAAAAGGAGACTTCAAAATGACACTCCGTTATGTGAAAAGTGCCAGTTGGTTGACAAAAACTTTCGGCGATTCTGAGGTGGATGTGTATGTGACTATGTGACAGGTCTGTATCTGTGAAATCAGTGACACTATATATGTACATTGATAATCTTGTAAAGTGAAATGAACAATCATAATTTCATTATGTACATATCGATCAAACAGATATAGATAAGGCACATGTGTTGTTTAAGTAAGTAATAATTAAAAGAGTATGACAATCATGGCACGATTTTGGGCGAGCCTGTAATATGACGGAAAATGTAGGCCGTTTTTCCGGATCCGGAAGTGTGTTTTTATAACGGTGCTTAACACTTCCGGTCGTATTATTATTGTGCGAGGGAAAATGTAGATCTGTACAATGTCAGGTGAAACTAAGGGAAGTATTAGGTAACGTGGTCCATATGTATGGTTGACAGTGTGTCATTATGCCTTGGTTACACTTTTTTTAGATGTATTTTTGTGGTTTTTTTTCTATCTTCTCTTACCTGTCTTTATTCTCTCTTCGCAATATCTGTCTCTCTCTGTTTCAGGACATGTACAACAGTTATACATTATTTATTTGAATAGCTTTTTATTCCTGTTCTCTCTAACTAGGCTAGGTATGAATGATTGGAATTAAAATTTTACATAATGGAAGGGCTAACAATTCTTTCTGCTAACTGTCAAGGTCTAGGAGATAGAATGAAAAGAAAAGATCTGTTTTCATACTTGAAAACTAAAAATTATGGTACATATTGTTTTCAAGACACACACTTTATATATGAAAACCAAAATATTATTCGAAGCGAGTGGGGTTTTGACTGTTATTTTAACTCATTCAAGTCTAATGCTAACATCACAAGTCTAAAGACCCTTGTTAAAACTGTTGAGATTAATTAAATTCTATGTTATCTGAAAGATGTTGGATCTGCACTGTAGACTATGACTTACAATTTCAATCTTTTGTGATAATATACCCATTTCTTTTCATTTGTCTTTTACTTTTGGTTTGTTTGATGTGATTTCCTTTTTGGATCGCTGTGTGTTTTACCGTTTGATGGCCCTAATGACCTTGTATGTGTTGACGGGCCGTTAAGAATGTCATAATAATCATTTTTTCAGCAAGACATCTCTTATGAAAACATCTTGGATTTAGCAAACAAATTAAAAATAGTCTACACATCCGATTGTCAAGATAACAAGAAAAATATTATTATTATATTGTCATATTCTTAACTGTCCATCATAGATAGTTAAAGCCACACAAGGTCTAAAATTAAACGACATCTCAAAACATATATAGTTTTAAATGTTCTTAAATACTTAATATGTTTTCTGTTTCAAAAACAAGTCGAACACCTGCTTTGCTATGGTAAAACTTTTCCGGGTTGTCTGCCATTATTTGCAGGCCATTAAAATTTGTTTAAATGTAAATGGTTTATTGCGTGATATGTACTGAGATTGGTTCCATTTTTCAATGTTTAATATATATGGCCAATCTTAGGCGCGTGTCTTTAGAGCTAGGACAGCATTCATGAATAGCTGGTTTGATCGATGTTAATTGTTGGCTGGAAAAAAATAATGAAAATGACGGAATAATGTTTTTTATTGAGAACAGCGGAACACAAAATGCTTACATATTTAATATTGTTATCGTAAAAGATTATCATATGTTTTATTGGTAATTGCTTTTCGGGGCAAGCGAATATTGAACGTTCGGCGTATGGAAAAGATTCAGGGCTTTATGTCACATGATATTATCTCAAATGTGTACAACACTTATTTTCTTATTTCGTGTACTACTTGCTCTTGGAGAGAGTCTAGCAGCAAATTTAGTAAAATCGTAGCTGCTCTGTTCATTTAAAAAGTTCTCTCTACCT